TACATAATAATACACAGCAGTAAATGACCATAATAATCTAGTGTTTAACAAACTCAAAGATCAAAGATTCTGGGACAATTTATTTATCAAAAATTGCTGGGGAAGTTGGAAAAGCAGTTTGGCAGAAACCAGGTAAACACCAACATCTCACAATATATACTGAGATGGGGTAGCTAGGTGGCACAGTGGATAGAGCTCTGGCCTTGGAATCAGGAGGACCTGAGTTCAAATCTGGCCTCAAGACACTTGACACTTACTAGTTGTGTGACCCTTGGCAAGTCACTTAACCTCAACTGCCCCACCAAAAAAGCAAAAAAATCAATATATACTGAGATAAGGTCAAAATGGGTACATGATTTAGACACAAAGGGTGACATCATATGTAAGTTAGGGGAGCATGGGATACTTTACCTGTCAGATTTGTGAATAAGAGAAGAATTTATGACCAATCAAGAGATAAAGAGTATTACAGTACGTAAAATTGATAATTTTGATTACATCAAATTAAAAAGTTTTTTGCATGAACAAAACCAATGCAACTAAGATTAAAAGGGAAGCAGGAAACTGGGGGAAAAAAACTTTTATGGCAAATTTCTCTGATATTTCTCAATATATAGAGAATTGCATCAAATTTATAAGAATACCATTCATTCCTCAATTCATAAATAGTCAAAGGACATGAACAGGCAGTCTTCAGATGAAGAAATTAAGGCTATCTATAGTCATACAAAAAAATGCTCTAAATCACTATTGATTAGAGAAATGCAAATTAAAACAACTCCGAGGTACTACCTCACACCTATCAGACTGACTAATATGACAGAAAAGGAAAATGATAAATGTTGGAGGAGATGTGGAAAAATAGTTACATTAATGCAAGGTTGACAGAGCTGTGAACTGATCAATTTGGCACTATGCCCAAATGACTATAAATCTCTTCGACCTAGCAATACCACCGCTAAGTCGGTACCTCCAAAGACATAAAAGAAAAAGGAAAAGGACCTATATGTACAAAAATATTTGTAGCAGCTCTTTTTGTGGTGGCAAAGAAATAAGACATTAAAGAGATGCCCATAAATTGGAGAATGGCTAAACAAGTTGTGGGATATAATTATAATGGAATACTATTGTACTTTAAGAAATGACTAGCAGGATGCTTTCAGTAAAACCTGGGAAGACTTATATGAACTGATGCAAAGTGAAGTGAGTAGAACCAGTAGAACAATGTACATAGTAATAGCAATATTGTATGATGATTAACTGTGAATGACTTAGCTATTTTCAGCAATGTAATGATCTGAAGGATTTATGATGAAAAATAGTATCCACCTCCAGAGAAAGAACTGATGGGAATCTGAATGCAGACTGAAGCACACTTTTTAAACTTTCTTATTCTTGTTTTTTTTAATCTGTGTATTCTTTTGCAACATGACGAACAGAAATGTTTTGAATGACTGCACATGTACAATCTATATCCAATCTATATCAAATTGCTTGTTTTCTAAAGAAAGGGGGAGGGGAAGGAGGAAGGAACTCAAAATTTTAAAAAACGAACATTAAAAATTTTTTGCTTACATGTAATTGAGAAAAAAAGAAACAAAAAAGAAACATATGGCAGTGAATGAAGTATAATTAAACTTTCATGTGTATAAAATCTGTTGTTTTGTCACATTCTTTCCTCCCATGCAGAGTTGAAAAACTACTATTATAGAAAAGCGACTTCCAAATTTACTTGGCTATGTATGATATTATACACTTTGAGGGCTGGAATATATCAATGTAATCCATAAATGCTGGTCTGGTAGGTGTGTGGATATGCGATATCCCTGAGATAAAGGGAAGTCAGATCAAATTTGAAAAATTAAACTCCCTTTCACACTGAAAAAAAATTACTGTACAAAATTAGTATCTCAGATACACACATAATTTCATCCTTAATATTTTAATGGGAAAATATTTCCATCGTTAATATTTTCTCATAAAACCATTACTTATATTACAGGGGAAGATCAGTATTCCTGAAAACACTACTTAGGAAAAATAGGGTCAATACAATTTATTTAGGGCTCAATTTGAGAGCCTATGCCTCTTCTGCTCTTTGCCTTTTGGATAACTTATTTAATATTAGTAATAATGTTAGCTAACATTTATATATATTAATTTGTGAATTGCATTGCATATATTTTCTTGCTAAAGAATGAACATGAGAAATGGGAAATAATATAAGGAGATGAAACATAAAGGCAGTCCATTTCAACTTCATCAGTAGAACTTTAAAGACAGGGTTTGGTGAGAAAAGAGATTAAAACTTTTGTTTAAAAGGAAAGGCTTAGCTGACAGTATTACTTTCCCCCCTTCAACTGTATACTATGACTAATCAAAAAGTAGGAGCTGATAATAGCTCCCATTTATATAGGCTTTAAAGCCTATAAAGCTATTATCTCATCTGATCCTCCCAACAACCCCTGGGGTAGGAAGTATTATTAGGCTCAGTGAATGAGTAAGGAAACTGAGGCTCCTATAGAAAGGTGAAGCCTTGCCTGCAGTATCCAGAGGAGTGCTAGCCTGGGAGTCTACAGACACAGGTATGAATCCCAGCACTTACTAATGCTGTCATCACAGGCAGGTCACTTAACCATTGGGATCCTCCCCTTCACCAAGAGTCCCTAGCCACACGTTGCCCGGGTATCCACTCTTCCCACCGATGGAATATGTGACTGGGGGAAGAATGCTCTATCGTTACTTTTCTTCCCATGCCATTTCATTATGGCTGGGGTTGATCAAAGGAGTTCTCTCCACTCTCTACCAGCTGCACTGGATCTCTAGAAAGCAGGAAAAAAGGAACCCGAGTCTTCAGTGAAGACTCCTTTTAAAGGCCAACCTGAAGGACTGGCTTCTCCAACAACAGTGTTCCAGAGAGTCTAAATAAATCATTTCATCAGAGGTGCCCAGCTCACTGAAATCTTGGGAGCGTCCCAAGGAGGCACCAACATCTGCTCCAAGCCAACGAATCCAATAGTTTTCTTTTGCCTTCTAACAAGGAGAAAACGGTCACTACATCCCAGTCAGAGGTTCCAAACAACAGCTCACTTCCTGGTAAGTTCATCAAATTGATCAGACACTGATCCAACAGAAGTACTCAGGCCCTTCTGACCACTTTTTACCCTCTTTCTTCTACCTTTTTTTCCCCCAAGAGAGAATGGAAATGGAGGTGGTTCCCCTATCATCTCCCTCACCTCCGTAAGTGATTCATGGCTGCCTTCAGGCAGAAGCACAAGGGAACTACATGTGTGCATAGGAGCCCCCTACTACAGCTGAGAAGAGAATTCCTGGTCACTTTTGGCTTTTCATTTCCTTTTCCTGACCACAAGTCAGGGAAGAGAGACCTGAGGACAGAGTTTTCTAGATGGTTTGGTGTCCAGGAGAAACACCTCACAGATACATGTGCTCTGTCCCATGGCTTGAGAAGAGTGCATGCACAATTTCATTCCTGAACCTCTGCTTCCTACCTAGAAGATGAAGATTTCCAAGGCAGTGGAATCCTAGAATTTAGACAACTAGCATGCCTCTGACTAATCCAAGTTCTGTTCCTTTCCAGAGTCCAAAACATGGGGTAGAGCTAAGTCTGAAAAACCTAGAACTTTAAAGAAAAATGGGACTCATGGAGAGGGAAAATTGTGTTGATTGTTCATTGGCTTTTAAGAGTTTCTCTACATTTATTATAGGGTTCATCTCCATTGCCTTTGGGATTAAATAAAGGTAATCTTTTGGGTCCACCCATTACCAGTGTTTTGTTACCAAGAGTTAGGTTAACAATCTAGGTTCTTGCTTGAACAGCAGCTAGGTAGGTGGTTGCCTGTATCTGTGGAAACATAGACTTAACATATATTGGGAGATTTCCCAAATAAAACTCTTGAGTGGGTATATATCTGCCAGGGCAGCTAGGTGGTGAAGTGGATAGAGCATGGGCCCTGGAGTCAGGAAGACCTGAGTTCACATCTGACCTCAGATACTTACTGTATGACCCTGGGCAAGTTACTTGACCTTGTTTAACCCAGTTTCCTCATCTGTCAAATGATCTGGAGAAGAAGCTGGCAAACCACTCTACTATTTTTGCTAAGAATACCCCAAGTGGGGTCACAAAGAATACATGACTGAACAACAATAACATATATTTGCTAAGAGAAACTAATCTTTGGGCTTAGTCTTGGGGACTTAGGTCTATGTGAGCTCAGAGTATGAGAGACCCTGGGCCACAGGTTATAGTTACACGTCTTTGTTTTGGACTGTTTTTTCTGGCTGACTAATAAAAGTTTACATACATGGGAGGGACAACGAGAGGTGGTTTTGATAGGATGTAGGCCAGAAGGGGTAGCTTCCTATCACACCCAGGATTAAATACAAATTATTCTTGTTTGCCATTCAAAACTTTTAATAAACTAGCCCCCTCCTACCTTTCTAGTCTTTTTAGAACCTACTCCCCAAGGCATACTCTTCAGTCCAGTGACACTGGTCTCCTGGCTGTTCCATGAGCAAGATACGCCATTGGTTGGTTCTGGGCATTTTCTCTGGCTTGTCCCCCACGCCTAGAACATTCTCCCTCCTCAACCCTGGCTAGACTTCCCTGACTTCCTTTAAGTCCCAACTAAAATCTCATCTTTGATAGGAAGCCTTCCCCAGCCCCTTCTAATTTTAGTGCCTTCCCTCTATTAATTACTTCCTATCTGTCCTGAATGTAGCTTGCTTGTATATATTTGTTGCATTAGGCTGTGAGCTCCTTGAGGTCCTTCTTTTTGCCTCTTCTGGATCCCCAGCGCTTAGCACAGTGCCTGGCAATAGTAAGTGCTTAATAAAAATTTTATTGATTGATTTTTCTGGGATGCAATAATGTGCTTTAAAAACCTTAAGGTCCTGCAGAAATGAGAGCTGTTGCTACTGCTTCTCCAGTACTGCACAGTTTGAGCTGGGAGAGCAGCATGGGCTCCCTGTGCTGGGGTTACCTGCGTTGTTCATCAGCACGCCCTCTCCATTTCTACAGTCCCCTGAAGACTCTTCGGATTCCTCTGGCACACTCCCATGCTCAGTGCCATCTTCCTGGCCAGGCGCTCCGGATTCTGGATGCATTTTTAGTTCTGCAAACACATACATGTGTGTGATGGTCAAGCAGGCTCTATTCACATCGTAGAAATTATACCCCAAAGGCAGCTTTTATGATTTAGGCAAATCCTCCCCAGGACTGAGACTATTCCAATGGAGAGGCCCACTACCAGTCAAAATATTGTAGGAAGAGACCTTATAGTTCAATCTAGTGCGAAACTCCCCTCCACCAGTTACAGATGGGGAAGCTGAGGCCCGGGGAGAACTGACTCGTCCGAGGTGACACGGTAGGTATGAAAACAGAAAACGGGGATTCGGCCCTAGCGCTTTTTCTCCTCCACGAGCCACTTCCCTCTGGGGGGCCCGGCCCCGAGCCCCGCCCGCAGCTCCTTCCTAGGCACGCCTCGGACTGAGGGTAGGGGGAGCGGAGGGGGAGCGGCGCTCTGCCCTCCCTGCCCCGCCCGGGCCAGCGGTGTCCCCGGACCAGCGGTGTCCCCCGCCCCGGGGGGCCGGCTCGCCAAACCTTTCACTCAGGTCTCCTCCAGCAGCTGAGGCTCCGCCGCGGCTGCGCCCTAACGCTTCCTCCGTCGCCAAGGCAACCGCGGCAGCCGCGCGCCCCAGGCGGCCCGGTGTCGCCAACGGCCCCGCCCCGCGCCGGCCGCGGTCACGTGGGGGGTGCGGCGAGGGCGGACGCGGCGCGGCTGGGCGTGGCGCTGTGGCTGGACTGGCGGGAGCCGCTGCTGGAGGGGCCCCTCGCGTCTGCAGGTAGGGCCTGCTGCGGCCCCGGCCGGGGGCCCCTGCCCCCCACGGCCTCGCCCCTCCTGGGAGCCCGCCCCCGGCCGGCCGGCCCATCCCCGCCTCAGCATCCCCCTCACCCCGCCTGACCCTCCCCCATGTTCTCCCGAGCCCTCCCCCATCCCAGTATGAGCCCGTCCTGAGCGCCCCCCACCCCATCCTCTCCCGAGTCTTAC